CCCTCTTAGTTCTCTCTCTCTCTCTCTCTCTCTCATTTAAATAAGATTGTATATTTGTCATTTTATAATTTTTAATTGAGAAATTAGATAAAAGTTGATGAAAATGACGTTTCAACAATGAAACTAGAAATAGGGGTGAAAATGCAAAAATTTGAAACGCAAAGACGTTTTGCATATTAAAGACTAAGTGTAGGGACGTTTTGTGCTAATAGGCCTTTGACTAAGTTTAAAAGTTGTTTCTTTAAATGATTCACAGTCAGAAAAAGTGACTTCAAAATCATATTTGATAAAAAAAAAAAATAACTTCTATTTGTATTTAAACTTCTCTGAAGTTGTAGAAAGGAGATCAACACAAAACGTAACCATTTTATCGAAAATGACAGATTGATGAAGCTGTATTGATTGCAACGGCACATTGTAAAACGATGGGAGCATATCTGTGCACCAATCCTCTTATAATTGATTGATTTTACATAGCACTCCATTAATTATAATACTAAATGGAAGCAAAAATAACCCCAGTCCTAGCTCGGTGGCAGTCAAATCTGGCTTGCGGGAGAATCTTGACTTCGTGAGAATATTCTAAGGTTTTAAACCTTCTTAAGGTTTTTTAAGATTTGATTGATATTTGATATTCCACTTGTCTTTCCAATCAAACATGGCCCGACCCACTTTCTTGATAGGACATAATAGGACGTGAGCCCGGATTGTAAGAGGGGAAGAGGAAGTTTTCTATTCATGGTAAATGTACATTCATTTCTTTACATTGATTTTGACATTGCCTTTGTTTCTTAAAAATTGTGGTCGGGGAAACTGTTTTTTATTTTAATCAGTCCAATAGTGTTTTTCCAGGTCGCACAATGTAAAATATGATATACATGTAGCATGATTGCATTGTACTATGGAGAAAAACGGGGAAATACCGAAAGAATTTCTAGTAGGCTGCTGGTGGACATTTGAGGGAATCCAACTCCAGGTTCCAGATTTTATTCAAACCCAAACACGATGGAAAAATAAGTTCGTAATCCCTCGAAAATAAATCATAAGTGTTTGTTGCGTTTTGAGTTGAAAGGTCACAACTCGTGGTATGAAAGATGAGTGTGAGAAATCGAAACTCCTTCTATTTTATCACTGAAAAATTTCATTAACTCGTACGAGCAATTTGATTCAGCTAAACCTGTAGCGAGCATTCGAATCAAAAATTAATGTACCCAAACAAGACACCATTTTACGTGAACTGTGGTATCATTATATTCTAAGGGAGCTCCCACAATGGCACAAGTCCCCTATCAAAGGCAACACTGCTAATTCTGAATTTTGACTTTCTCAAAGTCGAATTAATTTAATTTTCATATGCTTATAATTTTGCTATTGTAGGGACTTTGGGGTGGCATGATAGCCGGAACAGCTATGCAAACATTGCTACTCTTGTTAGTTCTTCACAAAACTAACTGGATCAAGGAGGTTGTTCTTAATCCTTAACCATCTAGCCAGTACTGTATGTTTAACATGGAGTACTAAACAGAACTGGATAGTATTGGGAGAAAAAAAAAAAGTCGTCAAAATCTTGTTCATTATATTGTTGCTAATAAATATGCACACGACTTTAAGGACTTGTGTTACGGCTTTATTTGTTTTCGAGAGACGATGCTGCAATGCAGCAAAATATATACATCACTGCTCTCCTTCCCCTGAAACTTCATTAGTCTGCATTTCTTGATTTCGTTTTAGATTGCGAAAATTATCTTTACGAAAGTTGCTATCCCGTCGGAATCATGTCATGAAACTATATTTGCAGGTGGAGCATACGACAAAGTGCATGCGAAAATGGGTAGGGCAGGACACTGAAACTGAAAAACTAGCTACTGACCCGCTTTCACTCCAAAATGGAAGACTGTAAATGCGTGTTTGATATTCAGTATTAGATCATAATGAAGAGTATAATGAACACCATCCAGTGTTATCTAATCTACTCATCAAACATGCAATGGGAGGAAGGGAACTTGATATTCAACTTATTTTCGCTGTACTAATTCAAATTTTCCCTGCTTTATCTAGTTTAAGGTTTGATCAGGTGAATGTTGTTCATGGTTCGATTGGGAAATTTTGTGCTTTACTAATGCACACCCCACACACCCCAAGGAAAAAAACACTTAAATTTGAGCTTTCTTTCTCGTCGAAGTTATGCTATGGGACGATGATCATGTACTTCATCTGAAATTCTGGAAATTATTTTTGGAATTTTACTTGTGTGTTCCAATTTTACAGTAAGATACATAGAACTAATTTTATTTTTTATGTTATAGATAGATGCATGTATTTAAAGAAATATAAAACATGTATATGCAATGTACACTACAATTCAAATCCATGTCGATAGCATTGATTCATCTTCGCGTAGTGAATCCTATAGCCATGGAATTCAAGTTTGGTTCATTAAGTTTCTCTTAATACCAGTCGATCATGGTCAGATTTGATTCCCACAGTAGATAAAGAACCAACAAGTTCCGCTTGAAACCAATTCGGTCCGTGCCCAAATGGAACAGTTATCCAATCACCAGCTCAAAATTGTTGTCGAATTGTAATCTACACTAAAACAATTGTAATCCCATCTAGTTCCATGAATTGAACATACACGAGAAGTACTACACTTGCACAAAACCTACATTATTCTTGCTCATCAGAATCTCGCATCAGCATAATCTAATTTACACGAGAGAACCTCATATTGAACACAGGGTGTCATCCTCTTATCAAAGTCAAACCAATAGCTGTTACAATAATAGTGGAGGGAACTCCAAATTTGAGGTGACTCCAGAATGATAAATTGTAGCCATTGTGAGCCCGAAGAGCCCGTTCACACACTATTAAGTTGGCAGCCGATCCCAAGAGAGAGAGATTCCCTGCAACCGTGCTCACCCAAGCTAAGATGAGCC